GTTGGGGGGGGGGGGGGGGGGGGGGGGGGTTGATCATTCATTGAAAAATCATATATGAAAGTACAGTATTGGTAGAATTCAGTAATTTTGGTTCAAAACCCTAGATATTTGTTGAGAAGTCCACTAAGTAAGTTGCACATATTATAAATTTTAGAATCTATAATCTTCAAATTTTATATCTGATACTATTTAAAATAGGGAGGAAAGGGAGGTTAGAAATTATTTTAGGTCATAGTGTGGCAAAAGGGGATTCAGAAATTGTTCTTTAGAATCGATGATCTTCAAATTCTGGATCTGTTTAAAATAGGGAGGGGGGTGGTCAGAAATCGTTTTAGGTCACATGCATGTTCGAATCCCAATGTGACATTTTATTGATAATCTGAATCCCTAAAGTATAAATTTCTAACACTGACGGTAAGAAGTTAGATGATGTAATTATGAATTTGATGAAAGATAAAAAGGAGAAACTTACCCAACAGCAAAGAATGAGTGTCCTGACAAATGCCATGATTGAACACTTTTGCCATGATTCTCAATAACTATCTCAACAAAGTTGCGGTAAGTGGCATTGACCACATTAGGTGCAACTGTGATTTTATCTTGTCCAGCTTGTCCTGGACTTGGTTCATATTCATCCTTGATCAAATCATACTTGAACACCTTGTCCCCTGCACCATAATACTCCGCCAACTTAATTGGCGTAGTGGGGTCCACGTGGGACACACCGTTCAAGGCATAACGGAGTTTACCGTCAACTTGACCAGCTGAGGTGACTAGCTTGATGGTTCGGGTGATGTTGATTTGACCATAGTGGTAAGATCCCTGAGGGTTAGGTCTAGCTGCACTAGCTGTTAAATTCCAACGGAATGAACGGAACTGGTTGAGGGACCATGCCCACCCTTCGGGTGCCTTAGGCAACTCAGGTGAGGCGGGGCCCTTACCATTGGCGTAACGGATAGTAGTTGTGGCCACGTGTGAGTCTTTAGTGAACCTCGTGGATGCCACGAGGAAATAGTCCTTTGGTTCCTGGTTAGCAGTTACCAAAACGGAGAAACATTGTCCCAAATGGATATCTAGGGATTCATACACATTTTGCACGGTGTGTGAACCTTCAATCTCAACGAGCTTCAAGGTGTGTCCTTGCATCCTTACATTGATAGAATCCTTCAACCCGACATTGCAAATCCTAAACCTGTATGTCTTTCCAGGGGTCACAGTGAACATTGGCTCATCTTTACCATCACCTTTTCCGCTCTTACCATTAATAACAACACCTTGTGGCCTTCCAAGAGCGCGTCCACTATCCAACAACCTTTTCAATTCGGTATGACTCTTAGTATACCAATCACCCACAAGGACCATATGGTCAGCCTCAGGGGTCTCAAATGGGACAGGGATCAAAGCGCGACTAAGGACACTAATACCACCAAAACCACCAGCAGCGCGGTGCATGCTGGTAGTAGGGTAGTAATAGTAGCTTCCGATTTGATCCTTGACTTGAAAACGATAGGTGAAATTAGTACCGGGAGGGATAGGACAGTTGTTACCTAGGGTTCCTTCTTGCCATGAGTTCTTCCTTTGTTGGATTCCACTCCATGTGAAAAGGAGTGGTTCATCCAATTGGTTAAACACATTGACAACAACATTGTTATTGGATGTTCCATTGATTCTAGGTCCAGGGAATTGACCATTGATTAAAATGATTTTTTGGGGTACACCAAGTGGAGAAAGGGTGCCATAAGTAACTTTCCATTCATGAAACAAATAAGGATCCTCTCCATTTACTGAAATGTTGCAGGTTATTGCTAGCAAAATTGCTAGCACACACCCCAACCTATTATTCATTTTTTTTATTTTTTTTATTTACTTCTTCTCTCCTGTTTCTTATGGTTTTTCGATTCTTTAAAACTTTGTTTTGATCGAATCGAAAAAACCAAAAAGAGAACCTGAGAGAAAAAAAGGAAACAATTATTAGAACATAGAAAGGATAATGATATTATGATAATGAATTTGATCTATTTATATTGTAACTAACAAAGGTAATAGCCACTCAAATTTTCCTTTGTTGTCCGTAAATAATGTTTTTCTTTTGGTCTTTATTTTCTCCTTTTGTTTTGGTCCTCCTTTAATTTCTCTATCATTCACGAAAAATTGAAAAGTCAAATCAAATCGAGGAAAAAAAAACCTTCACATAATAATATAGATACCTATTGAAAATTTATAACTACACACGTATATGTATAGATTTTATTTATTTTTTTACAATATATATTAATTATTTGCCCTCTTGATTCATAGTGTAGGTTTTTACTTTTATCTTCTAATTTGATTTGTAATTGAATAAGTCAAATAATCTATTTCATGTTAAACATAATTTACCTTTTGAGTCTTTTAGTTATTCGTCGTTGTTTAATTCAATTATCATCGCGATATCTTCATAAATAATAGTCTTAAAAAAAAATCGCAAAATTCTTGGACACTACATATATTTTTTTTTCTCTTCAATAAAACCATACAAGTAATGACTAACATAAATAAGAATTAAGAATACATTATTTCAAATAAAAGTACAAACGTATATAAATAACAAAAAAATTGAAAAGAATAGTGAAGAGTACAATATGACTTCTCTATAACAGTCATCCTCTATAGCAGCAAACCATATCGTTATAGAGAGGTTCGACTGGTATACAAAATTAGGTTGAGCAAGCTGACTGTAGTTCAGCTGCATTTTGCTCATCAGTAAGATCGATAGACATGGCATGAGGTATTCTATGGCGTTTCAATATACGCGATGTGGCTATTCTTGCGGATTCATAGTTCAAAACAATCACCCTCTCATCATCCAAATCAAATCTCACGTTCTTTTGGTTACCATCTTCCACGAGTTGACGTAAATGTTTCAGATTCAGAACTTCTACACCGTTAACCTTCTTCACCTGTACCAAAATGGTCCAAAATTTCCGCGGAAACAAAGAGGAAAATGATTAAAAGGCGCCATTTCGCTGTCTTTCTTAAGAAGAGAATGAAGTCATAGAAGCAATGAGTGTTTTACCTGTAACTCAGCAAGACGCTCATAACCAGCATTAATATCATCCATCAACACCTAATTAATTACGAAAGGTCACGTTAGTAGCATATATTGCGTTGATTTCTATGTAAAAGGTTAGATTATTATGTTGAGAAGTGAACGTTAAAGAAAACAGCTAAAACTGAACAAAACAAATGCATCTATAGTTTGTTATATATGAAGTTAGCCAAATGAAATAGATTGGCCAAGGTAAGACATGCGTTATATCTTGCCATGAAAAAAAAACCGACTTCAGTCACATTGCAAGAAAGTGTCACTTAAAATATTTATGTGCTTGAACATGCATCAGGTCGATAGGCTTGTGGACTCGGTGCATGGGAAATATTTCTGAGCATATGAGATTGCTTAACCAGAACTGATCAGGTAGAGAGTTGGGAAGTGATAGGTTAAGGTACTGTGGATTCAACAAATCGAACATTACAAGTGCATAGACTCGCAAAAGGTCTACCCATTTGGATACACCGGTTTTGCAATTCCTCAGCATACATTTAGCATGTGAAATCATGACAAAATTTCATGGTCACTTTTTTCTTTTCTGTTTTCCTTTTTTATTTTTTATAAGAGTGAAATTATTTAAGTTCTCCATTTGACAGAAGGATAAGAAACTGTAGATCATACCTGTGAAAGGATGATGAATTGTTCGCCGGGTTTCTTAGGTAGTTCCCGAAGTGCCCGTTCACACAACCGACGGGGTGAGGTATTATACCATTCTTCTCCATACTCGTGAAGGAATGGTTGAGTTAATGGAATAAAAACGAGACCAGCAAAAATGAAATAACTCGGAAGCTTGTCAAATTGATGAACTGGAACAAGAGGTTGCAACTGCATATTATTAGTAGTTGTTAGATACAGTAGATTAATGCCAAAGAAACCATTAGATTTACAATCATATAGGTTAAAAAGTGTTCACTTGAAGGCTTAGCAGAAAGTACAGTCGTCTTCTCAACACCCTACTTCTATGCACCTGATCTCCAAGAGTGACAACACAAAAATTAAACTCGGCCCAATCCTGCACCTGAAATTCTTCTAACAGCAGTGTGTGACACTCCCAAAACACCAGGCAATCTGAACTACTTTTAGACATGCTAGTTCTATGCCTAGAAAAGGAATATACTCCAGGGCTGGAGGGGGTTGTTCATTTAATTCATGAACTAATCATGCAGGTACAATAATAGATAATTGTTAACCGGTAAATAATAATAGGGATTGTCATGCAGTGAATAATAATGTATGAATTGTCGACCTCCAATTGTCCCTATATCTAGGGTCATGATTAGGGTATAATCATCCTATAGGAAGGTCAACGATTAGTGTACATCCTATCCTTATACCCTAATCGTCGACCTAGGCCTCTACCTCTCCTAAAACCTGCAAAATTAGTTCAGTTCTCACTTAATCAATAACAAAATGGAATTCACTTGCACTATTTAATTCATGTTTAGTTGCTTTAATAACTGTACTAATGATTACCTTCAAAATCAAGAATTAGGGAATAGAAGACGACATATGCAATAGACTTGTCACATGAGTATGAGAAATGAAATGTTGATAACAAGTGAAAGTAAAAGAGAATCACAGAAATAGAAATAGCAAAAGGGCGGGCTCACACTCTATGAGATGAAAGAGACACTGTGAACAAGAAAGAGAAGGAAAAAGCAAATCAAGATCAGCAGAATAAGATGATCTCTGATAAAAGTAGAAAAAGAAAAAAAGTGAAAGAGGCCTCGAAGTTCAACCATAGTTTCACACGCTAAATACATATGGAAGATACACAGAACAATAAAAGACAAACGAAACTGATCAAGGCCGCTTTCACCTTTTCTGTTTTTTCTATTTTTGTCAGAGTAGATTGTTTAGTTTTCCAGCTGACAAAAGGATACTGGATGAGAAATTCTAGATACCTAAGTAAGAATGGTTGAATTGTTGAACTTACACATTATAACGTGTAAAAATGAAGAATTTTACTTCTACTAGAGCCTCATAGTATTAAGTCATTAACCACAGTTTTCTTAATTGTAGGTGCAGTAATTCAAATCTATTTGTTTGGCCAACATGCACCGAGGATATATGCAGAAGTTTGAGAAACCACTGGGAGTATCCACATTTGAAAACAACAATTAATATTGAAGGTTCAATAAAAATGACTTACAGGATGAAGCGTGATCTTGAAGTCATGCACTTCACCATTCCTCAAGACTTTAAGTTCAGCAGTTTCATTTGGTTTCTTCATAGATACGAGATGGTCAAATGAGATTCTCTCTCTGTTTCGGAAAGGAACTGCAAATCATAAGCAATCTCAGAAGTCGGAACTTCAAATGATGGAGAATAAAGGGCAAACTTTTGTAGCACAAAATAAGTTATCCCAGCCTTAACAATTCTCATATCCTGCACACCACTTATGCAATTCTGGTATAATTACGAGCTATCTGCATGCAAGAGAAAACTCAAAATGAAAAGAGCCTAGACTCTAGGATTTCCATCTTACCAAGGGAAGTCACAAAAGTTACTCATAGTTGCAAGCTAAGAGAAGGTGAATGCTTTTAAGTTGATGCTACCCTGCTTACAAGAGCCAATAGCGAGAACCACATTCACGTCTCATCCTAATCCATCATTTTACCTCAAAAACATTTAAAGCAAGAAAAAAGCATGTGCAATAAATTATGGGGAAAAAGGAGAGAACTCTCCAGTCTGTTAACTTACAGTAACTGCGAAGAAGAAGAGGGCTCTCCAGTATGGAGTCTTATACTAGTTTAACTATTGCGTATAAGAATCACAATAAAGAGAGGAGCAAGAGCAATCAGAGAATTCTACCTGTTCCATCACTTGCTATGGGGACACCATCAAATGAGAGGATTATATCGTCTTTCTTTAATACTCTACAAGCATCAGAAAGTGGATTGATTCGGCTAACAAGTACACCTGTCATTTTTGACTGCATTTGGAAGTATTCTCGAATCTGTGCATTTTCAGTAGGTTGGCATGACAAGCCCAGAGAGCAAAACCCAGCATATTCACCACGTTCTTCTACGCCAGCTATAAAATGCTTTATCACAGGAACAGGAATAATGTAGCTGCAAAATCCAACCAGAAATAGAACTTGTAAGATCAACCTAGAAGACTGTAATTTCTTTTTTCTAATAACAGAAGTTTCTTTCTCTGAAGTAGATCGTTTAATCAAGACGGATCAGTTTAGATTTGACTGGTTGCAGCATGAGAGCTACTATGTGTTCCCATAAGCTAAACAAACTTAGACTAAAACTATTAATTGTCATCAAGCAAATCTCAGCATCAACTGTATGTCACAACTAAGAGAATAATATCATGATGCTAGAGCCAAAGGGCTACAGGTCAAGCTTCATATTCATAAACGCATGAACAAGGTCTGCATATTTCAGAAAATTAAAGAAATATCTTTTTACCAATTAAAGAATTGAATCAAAAGATGAAGAATAAAATGACAGAGAAACTAGGACAAGCGGACCAGAAAAATGATAAATGGGGAGAGAAGATTTGCAGAAAAATAAATGTTAAAGAAGAATAAATGCACTCAGATTCAGGCCAAGGAAATAAACGTCAGAACCCAGTTGGGTTTACTTCCAGTTTTTTTTTTTTCACATAGGAGGGCAGCAGGGAGGGGAGGAGCCAAAGGTTGTTCCCCTTTTTTTTTTTCATTTTATGTAAAACAAGCCAGCTGATACGAAAAATTGTGACTGAATCATAAAAAAATACAATTACAAAGGAAAGGTTAAAGCATGACTGCAAATAGGAGCTGAGGGGGGAGACCTTCTTAGTTGTTGGGTGAGAAGAGGGGGGAGTAAGAGCCAGAAGAAGTGGTGGAACATGATACCCTCTTGTATATGGTGGACTATTTGGAGAGAAAGAAACAAGAGGTGTATGGAAAATACTGCAGAATCAGTACAAAAGATCAAATGGCGTTGTATGAAGACGTTCTATTTTTGGTGTAATGAGGAGGGTATAGAGGATGCTGGACAGATTTTAAAATTTTTCTCTTCTTTATAAGTTTAGTAGCAATTTCTTGAGTTGGTCTTTTTTGGGTCACTGATGTAAATCTTTTTGATGGTTGCCAGCATACCCTCATTGCTGAAGAATACAACTTTACTTTATCAAAAAAAAATAAAAAATAGGAGCTGAGTGTAATTTTAACCAAAAGAAGAGTTACTTTGATGTGTGACAATGCTAGTGATATTAGCATATATTCTTCATCAATATTTAACTAAATAATATATGGTAGAGCAAGCAATAAATGAAGCAGGGGAACTAGATCTTCATGGTAGTTATGGAGACACAAAGTGGGAAAAGAATTTCTAATTTACCCAATATTCTCTGCACCCGAAAGGTTTTGGAAAGCAACTCCAGCAACTTTGTCACCCATGATTGCTGGCCCTCCGCTATTCCCTGGATTTATAGCCGCATCAATTTGTATTGCCAATAGTTGACTAGCCCCATGCACATATTGTGTAGGTTCAACCCTTGAGACGACACCTTTTGTGACAGATATATTGTCTCCCCCTAGAAAAAAGTGAATATCATAATGATTAGTAGAGAACTCATCAGATGCAAGTATTTAGTATAATATATTTGCCACAAGATTGTTAAGTAAAAAGATTGTTATTTTGCCACAAGAAAAGAGGCTCCTATTTTTATAGGATTTGATAAATGGAAGGAAATTGTTAATACGTGGAACAAACTAAGGTGAAGGGAGCCCAATTTCTCAGTAGAAAGAAAAGCAATGTGCATTTATGTGAACTTTTGAATGAAATGAGCCCTATATATATATATATATATAGGATTCCTAATGATGACAAAAGTTCACATAAATGCACATTGCTTTTCTTTCTACTGAGAAATTGGGCTCCCTTCACCTTAGTTTGTTCCACGTATTAACAATTTCCTTCCATTTATCAAATCCTATAAAAATAGGAGCCTCTTTTCTTGTGTGCTGTTTTTGTTTATTCCTAATGCTGACCCCAATTAATTTGGATTGAGGTGCAGTTGATTGATTGATTTTGTGAGAAAACGTGAATGGAAAGAGCCTGTTTGTGAGTTGTGATTCAATAGTCAGTTTTTTTAAAGAGGTATAACATCCCATTGCTAAACATGAACACTATAATATCACACAAACAATAGGAAAACAACAGAAGGCCTCAGAGTTTGAATCAATTAGAAGAAAAATAATTACCTTGAGGATAACCAACAACAGATACAGCTTCTTGAAGAAATGGAACATCACCAAGCTCCAAAGAGTTCATGCCCTCCCAGAATTCTTCACTTTCTACCACCAGAATAGCCAAGTCACATTCATGACCAACAGCCTGAACTGTTGCTCTATACTTGGTTGGAGAACCATGCTTTCGTACAAGTACAAATGTATGATCAGCCACAACATGAGCATTTGTCAGGATTCTCTTTCCCGGAATAACAAAACCTATAATATTAAGAATGCAAAATTCAAAAATAAGCTTTGTATTCGCTTTCTTTTTTAAACAAGAAGAAGTTATCATACACAAAGGGAAGGGAGGGGGAAAATGAACCGCCAACAACAAGGTGGAAGTTCACGTATCCAACCAACTAGGAACCTTGGAGCTACAATATCAAATATGTTATGCTCAGAGGCGGATCTAGGATTTGAATTTTATGGGTTCTTACAGCAATCTCGAATTAAAATACAATTATAACTAGGTTTGCTATCAAATATTAGTGGATTTAAAATACATATGCAGAGCTTGGCCAAAAGCTATCGGCTTCTGGTGAACCCGTAGGTTACACTCTGAATCTGTCACTGCTCATGCTTCAATCCTAAACTAGTTAAGAGTCCCCCATGTCTAATATCATGCCAAGAACAAAACGAATTGTTTTCCATTCCCAATCATGAACCCAATGAATCTGGAGAAATTTTTCCATCCTTTCGCAAAACACTAATCAGACTCCCATAAACATGTCTCCCATATCTTGCCTCTTCTTAGCAAACAAATCTCAATTCTTGGAACCTTTGGGTTAATGGCAAACTATTTATGTTAATGAACAACAACTTCGTAAAAGATAGCATTTTTACAAGGCTTCCTTAGTTAAAGAAGTGTGGGGAGTCTTAGTAGCTCAGTTGGTCAACTATCTAAATTTTTATCTTGTTGGTGAGGGTTCGATTACCCAACTTGTAATCCCCTACCCCGATTTTTTTTTAAATGGTCAATATTGTCACCAAGAAGTGAACTTTCATTTCAGGAATCCATAAAAATTTCACAATATTCAATGCTAAGTCGAAAAAAGGAAGCATATAGAGAATGACTTTCTGGAAGAGAAATGTAAGAGAAACAATACCAGAGCCCGTCGTTTCGCGCTGAGACTTGTTCTGCCATGGAAGGAAGTAATTAGGACTGCTGGAAACAGTAAATATCTTAACTACAGAATCCAATGCTAGCTCAATTGCTAAATAAGCATCCAAAATTCCATCAGATAAGCGCGGCGCCACTCGTTCTACCTCCGATAAAGCAACTCCAGCATCTCCCGCAACTGATAAATTAGGTTCAACACTATTATTTTCCTCAGCTCTCTCAGTATTAGGTGCATTAAAAATCGAGCTATTTGAACTCAACGTGGAAAAAAATGAGGCCGAAGCAGATATATTTCCAAAACTACTACTGTAATTGAACGGTATGAATCTCCGGTGACGCACCGGCGCTATGCCGGCGATTGCAGAATCTCCGGCAATTATAGGGCATTGAAAGTGGAGCTGTCTGTTTAAGAGCCTTCGTGATGCACGGAGAGTAGAACCTATTCGTAACATCGAAACCGGCGTATTACCGGTGAAGTTCGCCGGAGCTCAGCCTATTACGCCGGTGCCGTTAAAGCGCGCGCAAGGGGAAAAGGGTTTTAGGCCTTAATTGGAGATTCTAAAACCCTTCAAGAAAGAGGGGAACTTAAAAATAATTTAAAATAAAAAAATTAACCACGAGTATTTTTAATTTTATTTTTCTAAAATTAAAAAAAATAAAATGATACAATGTACAAAAACTTACACTTGGACGAGTTGGTTGAGTAGAGAATCTTTCAAAATGGGGTGGCGTGTGCTTGATATCACCTATGTGTGTTTCTCGATTGAGCTTGTCACTGGGTAAGGCCAGGAGCTGGTTTGGAGAATCCCGGGAATTTACTTATTCAAGGAGGCTTTATTCTAAAATGGAATAAGTGATAAAATCGATATTTTATAGAAGAATGATCGAGATCATAAAATTCTTTCACACCCGCACATGCGGCTGAATATATATAAAAAAGTTTACACACCGAGTTTGTCCAAAAAAAAAACTAACTTGAAAATATTACTCCTTTAATATTTGAAAGAAATTGACAAACACCTATTTTTGAAAACCATTAGTGTTTATATACTTTTTAATGTAAAAACTAAGATTTTGACCAAAATACCCCTAGTTAAAATACGGGAAAACTACAGAAGATCTTTTATTAGAGTTTGAATTTTATGAACTATACATATATGAGGATTATGAGATTAGTTAGTTTTAAGTTGTTTATCGATCCATTTCAATTCTCGTCCTTTATTCGAATTTGAAACTGATAATCCCAATTTAAATAAAATAATAACATAGTCGATGAAAATTCATAGAACCGATTCGAAGTATCAAACTCAATAGGGCCTGCAACAAACAAACTGATGCCAAATGTACAAAAAAAAATCTTAACAAATATTGATTTCCTCTTATTATTATTTTCTATTTGGAACATTTCCTTTGTATTAGCCGGCCAAATAGTAACATTCACTATTAAATAATTATAATAAGTACTATTTTAATAATTGTCTTTCAAGATTGCCATAAAAAATTAACAAGAAATAAAAAGTATATACTTGTTATTAGTTGTTAGAAAAGGCTTGCTTTTGAGTCCAAAAATAAATCATTTCGACCTAGGTCTAATTTCTAGTTCATTCTATTTTCTTTTGCTAGTTCGATCGTGGGATTTCTGATAGTGAGAATTACGAAACATGAATAGAGATGAAGATCTTCTTTTGTTTACGAACATGTATAAGCGCGAAAAGAGTGATCTAGCTAGCCTTCTTCTCCCTGTTCCGGATGAATTTGAGGCAAATGGTAGTATAACTTTACTTTTTATTTTGCAATTTTTTCGACACGTCTTTATGGAGAAGTAAGGATTCATATAGTCGTTCCCAACTTGCTCGGGACTAAAATAAATCTGTTGTTGTTGTTTTCTTGTAGGGAATTATGCACTATATAGAATGGCTTCTAGCAAAAAAGGTCAAATGGGATTGGATTACATGATGAGTACTGAAATTGGAAAAAATGACTATGATTGGTAAAATTCAATTTTCTTTTGATCATATTGTTGCACTAAGTTATAATTAGAGCATGTTGAGTCTATCAACGTGTGAAAATCTTAAAAGACAGATAATATGGATCGGATATAGTCTAATTCGTTCATACTTAATACTTGAAATTTTAATTGAAGGTTGAAAACGCCACCGGCTACGCCTTTATTTCCATCTCTTGACATGGAAGCCAATGCTCCAGAACTAGTCATTCAGAAGGAGATCCCAATTATTCAACCTGTTATTACTCTATCAAGGGTGTGTGCTTCTAACATTTTTTTAATTTTTTTTTCAAAAGTCACTATTATCATGAAATAGTTTTCGATATGATCAAGTTTTATATACAGTCAAAACTCTCTATAACAATATTGTTTGTCTAAATATAATATAAAAAATTGATTTTAGAAAAAACTTGATCGTTATAGTGAAATATTATTATAGATGATGATTGATATAGAGACGTCAGAATGTACTTTAAATTTGTCACAATAGTTTGCAGGAGGAGCTAAAATAAGAAGTACTCTTATAAGATCTTCATCACCTAATCAAAAGCCAAAAATAGACACAAAAAACTCAACACAAATTGGAAAACAAAATGTGTCATCAATAGAGAAGAAGAACACAAGATTTGCAACCACAACAATGATCAAATCCAATACTAGCAATGATCATAAAGAAAGATCAAACACATTGTCATCAAGTGCAACAAGAACAACCAAGCAAAAAGATTCAAGTCTTAATTTTTTAGCTTCCAATTTATCAAAAACAATGGGAACTGAGTCGTCTTTGAGTACCACTAGGCCTAAAAGCAGGGGAGTGTCCCCTGCTGGTAGACCTAAAAGCAGGGGAGAGTCCCCTGCTGGAAGGCCAAAAATCCTGGGAGCTCAGTTCCCAGGATTTTCTGATGAAACTCCACCTAATCTCAAGACAGATCGGTCCCTGTCAGCAAACAGGGGCCGGCCTAACCAATCAACTAACCAAAGACCAGGATCATCATCACCATCATCGTCCTTTTCTTCAACGTCAATACCTTCTACAAAACCAATAAAACGACAATCTTGTTCACCCAGTGTAACGCGTGGACGAAAACAAGAGATTAGTACAAGTAGTACAAATATTCAACAGGGGAATGGCACAACACAAGTTCTTGGTAGCAAAATGGTTGACAAGTTCATGAATGCTAGGAAGTCAATTCATGAAGAGAAGGCAAAATTGACTAGTTCAATGAATGAGAGCTCAGGTTTTGGAAGGCACATTTCAAGAATTTCAGCAAATATGGCTCACAAGCACATGGTAAGTGTATCTAATTTACTTGTTACTCCCTTCATCTCAAATTATCTATCGTATTTCTCTTTTACACGTCTCTTCAAAAAATATTAATTAAGAAGGGTTCTAACTATTTTATCCTTATTTATGTCTTAAGATATAATCTTCCTCTTTTTCATTAAATATTTAATTTATTTATGTGTCATCATCCCATAATTGAAATGTTCGTAATTTTCAAGAACAATTACTATTGAGGGTAAAATGAAAAAAAAATGATATTAAATTGTCTTGAAGCTCTAAAATGAAAAATAATTTGAGACAAGTAATTTTAGAAACAACGACACATGAGATGGAAGGAGTACATTATAGTATGAACTAATCAAACTACATACATAGTAACGCAAAACAAGAATTTAGAGTTTATGGGTTCTAGATAAGTTATTTATGCATATGAAGTGGAGATTTTTAAGCTTAAAGCCATGGTATGGGTCAAACCTATTTGGCTTGACATAAAATGATCAAAAAAAGACAATGATATAACTTCAATGTGAAACTAATTAAATTGGGCTGGGCCTATGGTATTAAACTCAGGCCCAACTAATCTCCGTAGCCTACCCCATGGCCCATATTAGTTCACCCAAATTAATTGGGCTGGCTATTGGTCTTTGCCAAAATGTAGAATGGTTTAAAATTATTTTTTCTTCTTGTTATTTATGTCACAAAAGTTTTTAGAAAAAAAGTGCCTCTAATGGCTATTTAGCCACTTGTATTTGTGTTAGTTTAATTTGACCAATGACTCTATAGATAGTTACAAATGAAAGTGAAAATACATATTACTTAATCATAATTAATCGAAAAAGTTTCTATACTCGATCCATGTCTTACATTGCACTTGTATCAGAATTTCAGCTAGTGATGCTTTCGATTACTCAGACTTTTGTCACGATGATTGTATTGCTCTTGCACAACCTGCTTTCACAATTTAGGTAAAAATAATAATTCTCCTATTAATTTTGATTTTTCAAATTAAATGACAGGAAATCCATCAAGACACTGGTAATTCTAGCAAAAATGGCACAATTACTGGGAGAAAATCTTCAAATATTAGAGGCAGTAAAATCCCTAGTGCATAAAACAACTCATATTATATTTTTGTTTGAGTTTAATCAAAAAACACAAGATGTTTTTTTTTATTTTGCCTTTTATCATTTAATGATAATTATCAATGTTTTTTCTCCTTGATTTTGCCCGACGAGTCATCTACTTAAATAGATCTTTTCGCAAAAGCTAAGTAACAGTAACAAACTACATATGGATGATATTTGAAAAATATATACAAGTTATGCAAATTAACTTTACGTATGTCATGATGAAATATGATCAAACGTCCATGTAGATTATATATACTGTGGAGTTTCAACTAAAGTAGTTCCTGAAAAAAGTTGGAGGAAAAAAATTGTTTCTGAAAAAGGAATAAAGTATAATAAAAAGGAAAAGAAGTAGAAGAATAGAAATGTCAAACAGTTAATGGGTTAATAATGTTGACCAAAAAGTGAGAAAATCAAAGTAAAAAGTCCCCCAAAAAACAGGTAAAGTGTATAGTATTATAGTCAGCAAAACCATGTTCTCAAACTATAAATAATTAATTACTAAACACTATGGATGGAAGGAGTGACGGTAAAATTATCTTCGGACGAATAATATTATGAAATATTTATTGTCTTTTATCAAAAACATGAACCACATAACTCTGCCATTTTCACCAATATTGATTTTCACCGTGAAATTTCATGATTTTGAATTCACTTCATTATTCATTATGTCTTGAAAATATTTTTATTATTAACTAGAGTCATTTTAAATGTATTTCTAATACATTAAATTTATTATATTAAAAAAAAAATCATTTTGTATTTATTACTTTATAAAATATATGTCATATTAATACTAAAAAAGAAAAAAATGGATAGGGAAATATCAATATATACAGTAGTTCAAAAAGGGAAGTGACTTTTGAATTTAGGGTACATAGTACATACACATGCATGTGCTTGTTGCATAATATTCTTCCAAAGAGAAAATGAAATTGTTTGACCTTTAATCAGATGTCTCAGATTTGAGTCTTGAATATGGAGAAATTCTGTTAAAAGTGTCATCCTGAAATGGATCTTACATTACGTAATTTAAATTTAATCAGAGCTCTAATATAAACTAAAGACATTGAATAAGAAATGAAAAAAATTTAAAAATAAATTAAAAGGGGGGCAAAGAGCATGTTGAGTAAAGTGATAATTTAAGGAAGAGAGATGGAGAGAAAGAAATAAGAGGAGTAAATACTAATGTGTAAGAAATGTTCCTTCTGAAAATACTGATTGATACATTGTTTTCTCTCTCACACACACACAAACAGAGAAACAAATTAAAAGCACCTTTTGGAAGACTTGATTTTTTTTCTCCACATATATTTAGGGATGTGTGCACATATTATGTGACATATTTTCGAATTTCAAAATTCATATTTTATTGTAATTTTTCATAACAGTACAATAAAAAGGCAATATACATATGAAAATTAATAAAGAGAGTTAAAGTCATTATCGATATTAATTAGTTGTCATTAAATTCAATATCGCTATAGATTTTAGGAACATTTACAAAGAGTATTAATTGCCTCTAAAAATACATATTTAATGGCTATTAAGTTATTGTTATTAATTAATTGTTGTCAAAAATCAGTGTAGTCTGTAGTGATATCTTTTAAATATTTTTGAATTGACAAATTAAGTGACTTGCAGTACTTTTTACTCCCTCAATCTACTTTTAACTGTCACGTTTTTTTTTAGAGTCAAATTATTAGAACTTTGACCAACATTTTACAATATATTTTTTCATCATATTGATATGCAAAAAATTGCAATTTATAGTACTTTTCATATAGTTTTTGAATATATAATTTTTTTTGTTTAAAATATCGAATTAATGTAATATAATTTAACTTTAAAAATTAGTCAAATTGACTTTCGAAAAGCGTCACATTACAATTAAAAGTGGACAAAGAGAGTACATAATTTTCCAATATATAAAACTTAAACTTTTTAATTTTCAAAATACAAATTGTGTCATGTGAATTGAGATGGAGTGAATAGTGTTATTTGAACTCATATATGTCCCAAACTCCAAGAAGGAAAAATAGAATGGGAATAATTAAAGGTATGAAGGGGGGAATACAATAGTCAATGTAAAGAGAGAAGCATATATATATATAGGTATATATAGACTTGTTTTCTGAAATAATTATTCATTGTTTGTTTCTGCACATCACAAGAGAAAAATACAGCAAATAGGATTAGTCAATTCTGACTATAACAATTGAGAACATCACTTGTTTGTATTGGCATTGTCCAATTAATGCATTTGCAGAAGTAGTAATAGGATGGGGGGTGGGGG